CCCCAAAACCCCAAAACCCCAAAACCCCTTATTCTTGACTGAGAACTGAAACAGCTCATTTAGATTACTTGATATAACCGCTTTGAATATGGCAGGCTTTTAGGTTTGATCAAAGCATAAATTCTTATAAACCTCTCATTTGAGTTAGCCCTAATCTGGCATTAAAAATCAATGGGTTTCGTATAAATCTTCTTTGTAATAGAAGGGTTCCAGTTAGGAGTAGCCACGTGCTTCCTTCGCCCAAAAGGTGTCTTGGTATTAGGGAATACAAAATCTTTGAAGCTACCAATTTGATGTGAACTATTGATAAAAAGCTTCTTTTTAGGAAACTGCTTATCTCCTTTAGATAGGGACTTATTCTTCCGTCTAATCATAAACCTTTGAGTGCTTTTCTTCCTCTAAAGTATAAACCAATTGTATTACACGTGGGGAGAAGGACTTTTTGGGAGATCCAGAGGGGCTAATAGCAGCGGTTCATGCTTTCTTATTCTCTTTCATTCATTTCTTAGTAATATAATCATCGAGGCCTCTGAGAAATTCTCTCCTTTTGGAAGCGTCAATCTCAGGGTGAATCTTATGGCTAAAATACAGAGTCGAGTTATTAACCCTGCTCTTGGCCCTCTCATGCTGAGGAGTCATCTCTGACTTCAGTGTTGAAAATATGTTCCCTGATACCGAATTTGGAGGCGATCGAGGCCCAACATTATAGAAAGTCTTACAGTTTGGCCTTACTTCTGAGTTAAACTCTGTCAGCATAGCTGGCTAGATTATCACTTATAGGAAATTTTAGCATTAATGTACCTTCGTAGGAGTAAATGAATCAGTATTTAGCCTCCTTAACTCATTATTTTATGTGTTCTGAAAGTAATTCATGGAAATACCTATGTTTTTAAGATCAATCATATTATTGATCGCTCTGTTATCAAAAAGTGATTGCTTCAATTTCTCTGTATGGAATAGAATATCAGCGCAAGACACCTAAAACTTGTCAAGAAATTACCTTGACTCTCCTTCCCTTCTTGAGCTTAGATGCGGAGATATAGCTTCTGAGTTTATTATACTCTCTTTGTAGCAACACTTTCTGATCGACCACTGTATTTTGCTTCAGAGGTATGATACGTTTCCTTTCTCTTAGCTTGATAGGTGGAGGTACGGCTATAATCTCCTAAAAAATATGTTATCCCCATCTGAGACACTTGAAGTTTTCTGTGATTACCTTATGTTTATTTCTTGACGTTGCAGGTAATGGAAATGACTGGGTTTACTATGTCCCTAAATCCCAAAATTAGCTACTTTGGCTGTGGAAATTCTATTTAAGCTCTACCTTCTTTCGCTGACAGCTTGGATAGCCTGTTCTCTTACAGGCGTGAATTTTCGAGTTGCTTCCATTTATTTATGGCAATTAATTTTTTGTGTTTTGGGGTTTTGGGGTTTTGGGGTTTTGGGGTTTTGGGGTTTTGGGG